TAGCATTTTTATTTAAATATGGTGGAAAATCTATTCTTTTTTCTCCCAGTGAGATCTTTTTAGATCTCATACAACTGGGTTATATTAATTTTTCCTAACATTTTCTCCTACCATCCTGTCCCCAATTGAAACCTTTCACAACAGCTCAATAATGTAAATGTCTTCAGGAACAAATAGTGTTCACATTAGTTTACAAATTCCACATTCAGGAAACAACACCTAGACATATTTTCATATTCTTCAATGAACAATTTACTTTATTTCCCCTGAACATTAAAATGAAATGGGGAAATGGTCTGGCTCCTTAACAGTATTAGCAAATCAAAGTTATTCAGAGAATAAAAAATAGTCTTGCTTTTGGGTAAATACAGTTAAGATTAACAGTCCATGTAACAATCTGATTACTTTCTGATGTCATTCAGATTCAGGTGTTATGCTGTTTTCCTCAAAGATTATGTCAAGGCCAATCATGAAGAAATCCTTGCCCACTCTATGGATATTTCAGACCTTCCTTGTATTGTCAGATTTCATTCTTATTAAACCTGTTTATCTTATAAGAGAAATGAGGATCTCTGGTTTTAGTCCTAACACAGGCTATTAGTTACTTCATCCTACTGTATGTATGGCAATCCACCAACACAACCAGAGTTCATCTCAATATGCAGAGTTCAGGCTGGTGTCAGAATTAGGCAGGATAAGGTAAATTCTTAAAGTTAGATATAGGAATGTCCTCCCAAGTTTTGAGACAACTCTCAGAATTCAAAGCCAGCATGGTCTATACGGTTAGTTTCTTTATGGGACTGAGGAAAGGGTGGTCTGCTATGATGAAGGAGCTAGCACTGGGCTAAAATGCACATGATCTTAGTACAAACATACCCATAATACTGATTAGTGATCAGAAGCTAATTTTTCTCCCTATCATGTACTTTACTGATTTGCTGAAGGCTGTCAGAGGAAGGATACAACTCAACTTAAATGCCTTCTGAGATTCTACTGAGAATCAACATAAAAATTGAGATAGAGAAAAAGCAACTATTTGTCCTACTCAATCTAAACTATATATGTATAGCAAATAAACAATATATCTCTTCCTGGACTATATTGTTGCAAATGCCTGTGATGAGAATTGCTTGTGGAAGACATCAGGGGATGGGGAGAAACCACACACCAAAAATTAAGACGGACTAAAATTCTTCCCTTTTTTTTCTATAGTTTACTATCTGGGAATATCGCTCATATGACTCCCCTATTTATGTTCTGAGGTTGGTACATCTATGAAGAAATCATTGTTGATGCTGGTTGAGTAAACCAGACCAATGATGTACTCACACATACACAACCCTTCATATTACAAAGTAGTTTCGGTGCCTCAGTGAATCACCAGGGTGCAAGTGACCAACTGCTAATATCAGAACCTCCATGTGCTCTAATAACTTCAAATACAGTCATTAAATGTAAAACTTCCAGTTCAGTAAGTCAGCATACAGTATGATGTCTTCAAATCAACAAGCCAGTCCTGCTTTCTTTCAGAAGAGGTAGCAAAGAGAGGGCCAAAGAAACTTGCAAGTACTTACATGTAGCACTCAGTAATTTTTCTTGGCTCATGCGTATAATAATATACACATACACGAACACACCCCTATCCTAGCATGTTAAATAAAATTTTAGGGCAGCAGCAGCTTTGCTCTGGAATTAGAATAACACATCAATTTTACTGGAGTTTTCAAAAGGCTTCTTTCCTACCGGTTCAATGCTTTTTCCTTCATTACCCAGAACTGTTTATTGGAATGTCCTTTCTACCCAATGTAGGTAAAACAATTCAAGTCAATTTAAAAGTCCCTGTTGCGATTGGTTAGTAGGTTTGGAAACAACCACTTTTACCCAATTTTGGGTAATTTAAATAGATTTGGGGAACACTGTGTTAGTTCCTTGTTAAACTCCCATTTCAAGTTTGTAGCATTAGAGATAAAAAACCACAAACCAAAGAATTAACAGGAATAGTTTAACAGATAAATCAACTTGCAAATAAAGAACTTTTAAAACTAAAATACAAAATAAAACTCACAGTAGGGAAAAACCATTGGACCACTGGAAAAGCCTATTACATGCATTTTTAAGATAATCTGACTTGTGTCGCACAGAAGTGTTAATCCAGTTCCAGTTCTACCAAGTAGCAGACTGGGGAAGTTGCTTAGTAAGTAGAAGGATAGAAGGTGATTAACTAAGAGTTTTGGGTACCATATTATCTGCCCCCTCATTTTCCCAAGCCCATCAACCATGCACTTAATTTGAAAGGTAGTAACATTAAGGTAGGAGACCCAATATGTCAGTGGTAGAAAACATGTTTACACATGCTATTCAAGACTTAATCCCTGATGAAAGACTTTTGTATCAGAACTGAGAAAGTTCTCAGTCTAATATTAAGACAGGTTCTATTTTCAAAGGGAGCCAATACTAGATCAGGTGAATCACCGATTTGGGCACATGAGGCATCTGTAAAACATGGCTTTTCAAACTTGGTGAAAAGGCAAGCTAGCTAGATTCTGCAAATAAAAGTCTTTCTGCTTTTCACAAACCAGAAGATAGACCATTGTTTTCTTTTTCTTAGACAGACCAGTCCAAAACAAATAGGGGCCAGAGAAACAACAAGAAATATTCACAGGCAGCAATGGCAGTTCTATCATGGGATGGAGTCCCCCTCCCCAAAAGCCCCATGAAGTTTTCCCATAAGTCTGAATGCCACACCTTACCAAAGAAACCAATCCTTTAAAATTGCCTCAATTGCACTGTCTTTGTTCTTACAGTCTTTTCGCCTAATCCCTATGCATCAGCTATTTATTCAAAGCTAAAGGGGGGTGGGAATCACTCAATACATTGCATATTTCACCAAGTCAGGATCGGGTGGGGAAAATGAAAAGAATATTTCCAGGACTAAGTTCTTGCTTCAGTGATCCCTGTCTGAATATTAAGCCCTAAAGAATGAATGCCATCCAGGAAGATTTGGCAAAATGAAGAGTAGCCCAGCAGTGCCGCACAAAACCTTCCAGGGAGAAGTTGGAAAGGAAAAATTGACCTCTTCGACTCAGAAAAGGCAGAAAAGCAGAAGAGGCTTTTTTTTTAAAAAAAAGTTGAGTTTTAGATTTCATGCTGTAATAACAGGTCACGCACTTTTGGCTTGATTGCAAGATATCCTGAAGTATACCATCAGATTCCACCTGTTTTACCCACCCTTCTGCCTAGCCAGTGGTAAACAACTCTTGCCTATCTTCAAAATTCCTCTTCTATAAAGAAGCTTCAAAATGTTACATGTTAAAGAGGGTACAGAGTACCCTGCATATAGCACATAAATCTTTTGGAAGGCAGGAAGCCATGTTTTAAATGCAAGAAATTAGACCTCTCCATGGTGAAGCTCTCCATATCCAAAATCTCTTTTTGAGCATGAAAAGCCTCCACTATGGTCTATGGCCACTCCTCAGAGTTAGCAACGTTCACACCATTTTACCTTTGGTGACAAAAAACAACAACATAGGCAATGCAAAGGGACGAGAGATGTATTCTCTACAGCCATCTTGCAGTAGAGATGATACTTTGCAAGAACTATTTCAGTAGCAGACATAGTTACTTTTCTGATCCTTCAGGCTAAGATTTCCCATGTCTCAGTTAAGAGGAAATAGGCACTTCCTTAAACCCTCATTCTTGCCTCTCCCCACTACATACTGTAATGCTTTTCCCCATCACTACATTCCATCTCTCCATCTCCTTCAAAAAGTACCATTGTTGCCAATGTATAACCTAATAGCTACCTTATTATCTCTTGATATATGCCTTGGCATAAAGCAAGGGGCACAATGCAGCCCCTCCTTCAATTTGGGGGAAGAGAACAGAGGTTATTGGTTTTGCAGATAGACATCTCAGCCCAGGTACCAGTATAATCCAGGCCTTTGGGGTCACCAGTTTCACAGACATCTCTTATAATGTATAGCCAGATCTTTATGACAATCAACAAAACAGTCATCTTTGGCTCTCCTTTTCATTATTCTATCCCCACATGTATTTTGTGGGGGAGCTTTAATCTCCATTTTACAGCTTCCTTGCCAGTGAAGAGGTGTGATCTACTTGAGGTACCAGCTTCAGGCCTACGCAATGCCAGCAAAACAGGCTCCAAATCTCAATGAGAGTCTGGCTGAAAACAGAAGCAACAATATCCCAAGTAAATATTTAATTATGAGGAACAAGGAGCCAGAAAGACAGTTGAACTTGGGCATCTTCTTGGCACAGATAAGAATGTATAATGAATCTAGAGGTTTTATTTTTTATTTTTGAAAAATAACAGAACTGATACCTGTTAAGGCTGTAATCCTCTACACTACTACCTGGAAGACAGCCCCGTTGAACTCAATGGGACTTGCTTCTGAATAAACATTCACTAGAATGCATTATTTCACTCTCCTTGTGTTCTAAAGCTACACACTAGCAGCAAGGACTGGAGGAGGAGAAATTCCAGCGATCTCTCCTTCAACATTTGAGAACAGATTTCATTTTAGAAAAAGATTACTCCCATTAAGTAGATCCTCCTTGTATAGCCACGGGTCCCCCTCCCTCAAAACAACCCTAACTCCTATCTATCTTCATACCTATTCACACAATCATTTGTTCCTGGAAAGAAATCTAAATAAGCCTCAATGGTTTGGCAGGAGCAGGAAACAAAAATGCAGGCAAATGAATGTCAAATATGCAACACCTTCTTTCATACATTGGAGGTGGTTTGTATTTGGGGAGATTTTCTTTAATGCAACCTTCTCTCCAAAGTGGAAAACATATGTGAATTCCTGGAGCCACAGTCCATTTCCTCATCCCAGATTTTTTAAAGGAGACTGTTGTATTAAAATTGGGAGGGGGTCAAGGGAGGCTTACTTTTTTAAAAGACAAATGCAACAAGTAAAACTATCCAGAATAAGGTAAAACGCACGGTATAGAAAGGGGGAAAGGATTCAACTCACCTTCAAGGGTAAAAACAGGGGCGATCCCTATTAGCATGTGCAAAATTCCTAGTAAAAGCAGCCACAGCCCCACTTCTACTCTGTGGGGCAGCATGTTTGTGCAAAAATATATTTTTTAAAAAAAATAAAACCAGGTTGCCAGATAGTCCACGAAAGACGCACGGTTGCAGCTGCTGTTTCTTCTTCGTAGCTGCTCACCGTCCCCACCTCCTCTTCTTCACTCTCTCCTTCCGAGGGTCTTCAATTCTTTCACCATCCACTGAAGCAGAGCCGGGGGTGGGAGGGGGCGACGGCCACGAAAAAGCCCCTCTCCCTCCTCCTCTCTCCCTCCCAGCCCAGGAGATGAGCAAACCCAGCAGCGGCAAAGGCTGGGGAGGGGAGAGGAGGGGGTTCAGCCCTTCTTAAGCGAGAAAGAAAGATTGCATGCAGGAAAAAAAAAAAGAATAACTGGGGGACGGGGGGGTTGTTGATCAGCAGCAGCAGCCCGCTTCTTCTGCACTAGGTTAAAAACAAGCCAAGGTAATCGCAGCGAGCATCAAAGGTTCCAAGAACGATGCATAGGGAAGAAAGAAGCCGGGGGAGGGTGGGGGCGCCGACAGAAGGGAAAGAAGAAAATGAAAAAGGGGGTACTTCTGGATTCCGAGAGAGGCGAAGACAAGCAGCTCCTCTTCCTTCCCAGCCTCTCCGAGTGATGGAGAGGGGAGGATGCACTTGGGTTGATGCCGCTTGCACCACCCCCGGGAACGCTCTCTGCACGACGCGTTCCTACGCCTCCCGCCACCACAGCCGGACGAAGGAAAAAAGCAAACCCCCGCCTGCCGCACCAGTAGCCTCAGCCGCCTGATGGAGCTCGCGCCGCCTTCTGCCTGCCTGACGTCATAGGCTCCCAGGGAAAGGCAGGGGGAGGGCGCTGCAAATGGGGGCTACGCGGCAGTGGGCTCAGAGCGCATGCGCTTTCTGATATGCCCTGGTGCTGAATCGCGGGGTAGAGGTAGAGGAAGGGGGGGAGGAAAGCGGGCAGGTCGCACTTAAAAAAAAAAAAAACCCTCCAAAAGGAGGATTCCTCACCTTGGGGTGCGCGCGAAAATGGAAGGCACGTGGATGCAGTGTACAGCCAGCGTAAAAAGAGCTGTGTACCTCAAAAATCACACACACACACACACACACACCAAAATAAATAAATAAAATTAACTCTGCCTATTTCGGGGGGAAATGTCAAAGGGCGATGTGCGCCCTCTTCGTTTTTCGAAATACTGTAGCGTGGTGGTGGTTGTTTTTTCTCACAGGTCTCTCTCTCTCTCTCTCTCTCTCTCTCACACACACACACACACACACACACACACACACACACACACACACAC